AAGAATAGTCATAAAATTACGAGATCAAAGTCGCACAATTATGTGAATAAAGTCGGAATATTATGAGAATAAAGTCGCAAAATTTCTAGAATAAAGTCGCAACAAGAATAGTCATAAAATTACGAGATCAAAGTCGCAAAATTATGTGAATAAAGCCGTAATATTACGAGAATAAAGTCGCAAAATTTCTAGAATAAAGTCGCAACAAGAATAGTCATAAAATTACGACATCAAAGTCGCAAAATTATGTGAATAAAGTCGTAATATTACGAAAATAAAGTCGCAAAATTTCTAGAATAAAGTCGCAACAAGAATAGTCATAAAATTACGAGATCAAAGTCGCAAAATTATGTGAATAAAGTCGTAATATTATGAGAATAAAGTGGCAAAATTTCTAGAATAAAGTCGGAACAAGAATAATAAAATTACGAGATCAAAGTCGCAAAATTATGTGAATAAAGTCGTAATATTACGAGAATAAAGTGGCAAAATTTCTAGAATAAAGTCGCAACAAGAATAATAAAATTACGAGATCAAAGTCGCACAATTATGTGAATAAAGTTGTAATATTACGAGAATAAAGTCACAAAATTTCTAGAATGAAGTCGCAACGAGAATAGTCATAAAATTGCGAGAACAAAGTCGCAAAATTATGTGAATAAAGTCGTAATATTATAAGAAAAAAGTTCATGTTAGCAGCTATGGATGCTCCAAGTGTTAGCATCATTTCTAAAGTTGCCATGAAAAAGAAAACTCTATTGACGATGACCGCTGCGATGTTCATAGCTACTCTCATGTCCAAACTTCTACTTTGAAGAACGACCCTGTCAACAGGAAGTGGAATTTGATGCGATTAGCTTGACGCACACAAGCATGGTGCTTTTTAAGGCAGCGTAACCTGCAGGTGGTGTGAGCGAAAAATGAAACAAGGCAAATTCTGCCATGCTTAGTTTATTTATTGTTTACACCTGATCTCAATTGGGGATGCAAGTTATTGATTAATTAATATACAGATACAATGAATCTGTTGATTAATCGCTGATTAATTGAATCATTATTCAACAATTTATCATAAGTTGATTAATGCTTATATCCCTTACATAAATTTTCCTGCTTTATCAATAAAAAAAGAAAATACTGTCAAAATAAAACAAAATCAGGTAAGACTCACTTTTATCTACAGTATGACCATAGCCTCAGTCTTTCTTGTTTTTGTTTATTACATAATTATTGTGGAATAGATTGTCTTTTAAGATAAAATCTATGTAGTTTAGTTAAAAAAGATCATTTGTTTACGGTCCTGAAAACTAAAAACCACTGAAAGAGGCTATATGTGATATGTATGAATCAGACATTATAAATGGGGTCCTCAAAATAAAAGAATTTATGTAATTCCAATCGATTAATCTCTGAATTTATTGATTATTCTAAAAGAAATGTTCTTGTAATAAATCAACATTCTTAAATAAAAAAACTATCTTAAAAAATTGATTGCATACTTAAAATTGTTAATGAAAGAAATGTAAAAAACAATATTAATAAATAAATCCAAAGCCCAAAACATTACAATTTAGGTATAAAGTCTTTCAAGTCATCTTATAAGGTATTTTGCTAATTAATTAATTTGGCCACTTTGTTTTTACAGACTAACTATGAAGTCATAATTTTTGCAGGACTACGCAACCATAATACTAAAGGACCAGTTCTATCAAAAACTAAAGAAAGTAACACCAGGAGGCCTAAAATATGTCAAATAAATGAGTTCATGCTCCTTCTCTGTGCTCCTGGTTTTTAATGCTCCTGTATACTTCTATTCGCTCTATGGATCCGTTTCTGTGCGCTCATTTAAACTTTTGTCACCAGGAGGAAGCAACCAACCAGAGAAAGTAAAATACCTGTGATTGGTTATTTTCAGGAAAGTTAAACTCTTAAAAGAGAACAGTTTTCTTCCTATCTGCGGCTAGTAACATTAGAAAAGCATCATCAGGCTAATAGCTTTTCTCTTACAGAGTTAAAAAATTTTAATTGAAGATTATTACGAAAGCTAAACACAGTAATTAGTGCATTTTGACAACCGTAGCAATATGCTTTAAAATGAAGTTAAATTTGGAACTTTGTATGAACTAAGCTAACGTTAGCGTCACTGTTTACTCTAAGGAAAGTGGCTTGAATGAACTATTAGAGTAATGGTAGCTAGGCCTGTCACCATAACAAATTTTGCCGAAAGATTAATTGTCTCAAAAATTATTGCGATAAACGATAATATTGTTTGAAGACCTTTTTACACTGATTTAATGGAAATTACGTAATCATGCATGCATTTTTCTGCCAAAGATAGACACACTTTATTTTCAACAGAACACTTAACACTGGAACTGGTTAACAAAATAAAACGAGAATTAAAAATCAAATTGACTTCCAGTCTCTGTTAACTAAAAATACACTTGAATAAAAATAAAACACACCATAAAACCACAGTGGAAATAAAAACTTAAGTACAACATATCACGTTTGTGATATGTATGTTTTCCTCTGGAGTTCATACTGTCTATCAAATGTCTGCAACATTTTTTCGAAATGCCGGCTTTTCGACAATATTAAATGGGAGCATCTCTTTAGCAATTAAATGAACTACGCCGTCTGTGAGCGCGCGCCACTTTGCTCCATTCTTTTTGTATGCTGCCTGTTGATTAATTGCTTCAGTGATGGTGGACTGTCGCAAACTTGAAGACGCAGACGGGACACTGCTATTACTTTTTGTTTCCAGCTGGAGAAACTTTGCTGAGTGGTTGTGCTTTAGCTGCATGTGTAGGTTGGTTGTATTGCTGCTCTTAGTTGCTGTTTTATGACGAATGCGACATACTGGCTCGCATAGGTCCAGCAGTTTCGCCTCGGTCATTTGGTTTGAATTCGAAATACTCCTACACTGCGACTGTTGCGCTCGGCTTTGAAACCAGTTCCATTTCGAGCTTTTACTCCCAACATAAGATGTGTTTTTTGTTGTTGTTTTTTTAACCTCGCTAACTCCTCACGGGGCTCTAAAGCTGCAGAAGTACAACATGATGCAGGCTGTCTACCTGATGCGATAGGCCAATCTTCCTCTCTCCTCAAAAATGAGGAAGGGGAGGGGTCAGTGGATAAAACCGGAGTTAAGCCTTTTCATCCAGCGTCATCAATAGAAAGAGAAAAACACAGGCAGAGACGATATAGCCGATAAATTAAATGATGTGGATAGTTTTTATTTATCGTGCGAATAATTGATTAATTGATTATTGTGACAGGCCTAATGCTAGCAGATTCTGACTTCAGGTAGAGAAAGGTGTTTTTGCTCTACAGAATTTAAACCAGGTGAAGCTAAAACGGCCACTTAGATCGAGGATATTCACAGACAAAAGATTTAATATTTATAATAAATAGACTTTATATTATTTATAAAGTTTTGGCTCAATTACTGCCCTGAAGGGGTTATTAAATGGCATGTTTAAGAGAATGTATATTCCAGTTGCATATTTTTTTTAAACACACACAAAAAAACAAAATGAAAAAAATGAATAATCACATTAACAGTTGTAATGAGTGACAAGCTGGGTATGAAGTGCCGGAACACGATGAAGTCTACAGTAATGTAGAGCTGAGTTCATGTGACAAATGGCTGCATGGGAGATCGTCCATGATGCTTTATTTAGGAGCTTAGAGAAATGGCTGTTTATCGGAAATAATCATGCAGAAATTATACGTTATAAAACTTCAAAAACATTGTTTTTTATTTTTATTTACTCACCAAATGCAAAAAAATATTTAATTGATTATAAAACTAAACCATGAAGCTTCATGGTTTTCATCAGATTTTGTATCGAAAGTCCCCTTTTAGAGAAGATTCCAGATACGCTGAGCTAGAGGAGCATTTAGGACTGTCTCCATGACCAACAGGTTCACATCCAGTCAATGAGGTTGAAACATACTGTGGGTCACGTAGCACAACTGAAACCACTCACCTTGATCAGCCTGCCATGGAACAGACAGACATGTAGGAAGAAATGTGTTCAGAGCACAGTAAAGCAACATACAGCAGAGAAAATAATAGCACCTGCTGCAGCGACAGAAAGGAAGTCATGAGGTGGGTGATCTCAGTCAGAAATTCCAGATATAAGAGATAAAATTAGGACTGTAACTGTGGTGCTCTTTGAGGGTTGGTAACAGCAGAGACTAACATTGGCTAACATGATTCCTAGCAGCGACATGCTAGAAATCAAAGAATTCAAAACAAAAAGCAAAGAGGGGAAATGACTCCAGCTGTACAGTCTCTGCTTTGAAGCGTTTTTAGAGCCAGTCATATCAGTCTGACAGAAAACACAACAAAACAGTTCTGTTAATGCAGTGAGAATAAAAAGAATGAATACATGAAGACATACATCATTTAGGCTAATTGATCAGGGGTGATGCCTTATGCTGATGCAAGTTTGTGACTATTTTCACACCATGAAACAGTTACCTATGCTAAGGCACAGTGGTGACAAATAAAAACGTGAAAGGTGCTAGTGCTATTCCTCTTCACAAATCATAATTTTGTGAAGAGGAATATATTCAATGGCTTCCCTCTGCAGTCATTTACAGCGTTACAAAGGAGATAAAAAGATTCTTTAGGCTTCATTACTGTATTATCTGATAATGATCTGCTAAAGTGAAATCTTCATACAGGGAGGAGAACTGCATTAAAGTAATTTTGAAGAATACTAAAGAGTGTTCAGAGAGGACAGAGTTGTGAGGAAATGCTCATTTCTTCACAGACAATGCCATATGTCAGCACAAGGTCCAAAGTATGAAGATGAGAATGTGTGGGACTCTGCACATTTTGAACACAGCCAATTGAGGGTACAATAGCATCAAAGGCTGCATTTAAGCTATCACCTTCAATGTCAGGATGAATGTTTAAATTACTATACTATAACGGCCGTGTCAGTACTCTATAATAAATCGGATAGGAACTGTGAAAATTGATCAAAACAATAAAAACAAGGACCTGGAGGACGATACAAAGTTACAAAAAGGAGAGGTTTTGTTGCTTTGCACTTTGGATAAGGGAAACTAAGGGTTAAATGGTTTCTGCTCAGGTCTGGCAGAAGTTATGGGCTGTATGTAAACATGGTAATAAAAAAAAAACGTGGTGAATCACTCCTCAACACACTGTTACATTCTAATACACGGTGGCGGCAGAGTAGTGCTGAAGGAATCCATTTGTGTGACAGGTGAAGCCAAAACCGGTGAGAGTTTAAAGGGAGATGGGCAGAGCTAGTTTAACGGGGAAAGACTAAGAAAACCTGAGGTGAAAGGACTGAGATTTGGGACTAAGGAACCGCTTCGCCTCGCAACCGTGAAACAAGTCCAGGGTTTCTGAGGACATAGTCATTTCTAGAGGTACGAGCGCTTCAGTGCTGCAGGACTTTAACTTTCTGATGTTAGGTCCCTACGTCCGCTCTGATGAGCTCGACAGAGAGCTTCAGAGTTAACTTAAAACGTGCAGGGCATGTTTTTGATGCAAGCGGTGTGCTCAGTGGATTCCGCACAGGAAGTGTCTGGGTGTAGTTAACACTTCTACCAACCAGTGAGGTTTAAAGCAAAAAAAAAAAAAAAAGATAAAACTTGACAAGCTGCATCAAAGAAGTGGCACCAACACCCCATCTGATCATCACCCCAACCATAAAGACATCCTGGGTAAAGAAAAGAAAACAAAAGCACACTTGATTGGTGATGATGTGGCACCTTAATAAACACTAACCTCCTGTTTCAGCTCTGCTATCTGGTCTTTGAGGTCTCTGATGTACTGGCTGGAGTCAGTGTGGTTCAGCTGGCCTTGGACCTTCCCTTCTTCTTTCTGTTGGGAGAGGAGAGGTTAAGCTGATCAAACCGAATGATTCTGGCCTCGGTGCAAACATTTGGTAGGAACTGAGACACACTGCAAGAATTTTCATGACTGTTAGGAAATTCTGCATGCTTGTTCTGAATGAGCCTCCTGCCACCGTCTAAAGCATGGGGTGCAGATTTGTGTGGCGGGTAACCAAAGTCACAGATGTGTGTGTGGGGGGAAAACGGCAAACTGTATGAACGGTGCTTGGCTTCCTCCTGAGGCCCTGGGGATGGGGCCGACTGTCGGCCCCAACAGTTAAACAGCCCATGTGATGTTTACCCTCCTCGCTAAAAACACCTGCAGCCATTTAATGCAAACCTCAACATTCAATCCGGTTCAACCTTCGCTGCCACACTCAAGCTCTGAGCTAAAATAGGAAGGAGAGGTAGAGAGATGAGGTTGGCCAACACCCCGAAATAAAGATATGATCCTCAACTCCTTTGTGTTGGGAGGGGGGGTGGAGCTTAGGTTTTTGGGTCCCTAAAGAGTTTTTTTTTTTGGTTGTTTTTGGGTCAAAACAAGTGGGTTTATTCCAAGAAACATTTGTTTTTGAGGTTAAGCAGCTCCAAAACACTGCAACGAAAATGGCAGGCAGTTAATATGACTTCCTCCTGTTCAGCTGTGTGCATCAGCAGGTGTCGGCCCGACGTCCAGAGAAGAAACCCAAAAACAAAACAAAACACAATCATGAAATATGTTTTCAAAACCAGAAGTTTTACAAAGTGCAATTATTTCCCTGTATGGTAGATTACTGGCCTTATATTAAGTAGATTTGTCTCAAAAGATGAATAATCCAAAAGAACCAGCTTCTGCTTAGTATATAAATCTGAAAACCTCAAAAACGCTTTGTGATTAGATCTAAGATGGCACGACTTGGTTTTGAAGTGTGAAGCCTCCTTTCAAAACATGTGCAATGCAGAAATTAAAAGATAAGCCATTTTTTTCTTGAAATAAGCCACTTTAGCTTGATCTGAGTAGACAATTTGCATTAAAAAAATCTTTGTTTAAGAGAAAATACTGATCTTTATTGTAGATCATCTCATTTACCTGCTTAAATTAGGGAGAAGCACATTTAAGAGATCAGTTTAAATGAGCTGTGGACCAAACTGAACATCCTGTCAGCATCACATCCTCAGCAAAAATAAAATACGCACACATCTCATTACTAAATCACATCTACAAATTTACCATGAAATCTATTTGAGTCCTTTTCAGTGCAGGTTTTCTGACACTTTTCTTCCACCGTAGTGGTGAGCGGGTTAAGCTGGGTCTAAAGGAGGCATTAAAAGGGAATGTGTGATACTTCACAGCAGTGGTGTTGAAGCGTACGATTTTTTTTTTTTTCATTTGATGAGAGCAAACCGTTTATTAACCCTCCATCCAACAAAACAGAGCGACCCATAAACAAAAACTGCTTCATATCTGGTTAACAGCAGCGAAAAAACCAATGCAGAGCCAACATGGAGAATGTCTAAAATCTTTTTTTTTTTTTTGCACAAATCTCTGAGCATATCATAGAAACCTCAAAATAAACCATGCATGCCACCTTTGGTAGAGCTTCGGCTTGAAGATGAGAAACCACTTCCTATCAGACCAGAAGACAGTGAGGCTGTGGCGTGCAGAGGCGATGGCTGCAGGGGTAATCGACCTGTTAACCGTTTCAGAATCCAAGCTTCACCGACGGTTTCTGTTTGTCGTCTACTGAACTCACGGCTGCAGGATTACTGGGATGCGCCAGATGTTTGATGTCGCTGCTGCCTGATCCTTCACATGTGAACTGAGCTGGAAACCATCAGCAGAGAGTGAAACTAACCACTGATAAGGGGAACGTTTTTTCAACTTAAATTTCTTTAAGATTTACACCATTTATACTCCACAGCTTAAAAAGCAGGTAACCAAACCACAGACCAAGAAACCTAACATACAACTCTGATTTAAATCCCTGCTCAGCACAGAGGAAAAAACCACTACAAGAACAGGCCTCATCTGATTTTTAGTTTCTGTTTATAAAATAGAGAAGGACTGAGGTGTAAATAAAGTTAAAATGCTTCTTAATGTTATCGACACACTCCGCTATGAGTTCATTACGTAGATTGGGTGAAGTATGAGGGCGGGAGTGAGTGTTCTGTGTTCTTTTTGTTTTTTTTTTTTTTTGCTCTATCACCTAGTAACCAAACCACAGACCGCATTGTGCGCGCGCCCGAGTTCGAGAACAGGGGGGAGGTTTTCTTTTTGCCGGAGTCATACTTATAAATAGCTTGGTTTTTTGAGTTTAAAAGATAAAAAGAGATGAACAGAAGCGTGCAGAGCATCCCGATAGCCTTTAAAATAAAATAAAAAGAAAAAACCTCTTAGTCTTAACCGTTTACACCTTGGCTTATCGTAGAATCGAGGTGGTTTGAAATCCTGTTAAACTAAATATAAACTTTAAAAATAAGACCCGCCCAGGCTAGTGGAAAGTTAACCTTCGATAAACGGCAGGTTGAAGGACGCCTGAGATGATACTGGAACAAAAAAAATAAAAAATAACTTTAGTTTCTTCTTATTTTTACTTCTTTGGTCACATTTGTTGTCAAACAGATAAACAGTAACCACTGTTAATAAATAAAAAATCATTCATCAATCAAAGATTTCCAAACTAAGCCTACCAATCTTTCTAGAAAGAGACAAAGATGCAATCTAGCTGCTGTTAGAGGGTCTCTGCGCCACAAAGCAGATCTGAATCCTGTCCTTTGGGCTGAGTTATAACCGCATAAAAGAAACACAAGCTTTTTAGAAAAGACAGCATATTAGTCTGGAAAAGAGCTGGTAATGGAAACGGGTTAAAACCAATCGGATAACCACCAGTGTAGGGCATGTTACTTTGAAAAAGTCAGTTACAGTTACTAGTTACTTCTCCCAAAAAGTAACTGAGTTACTCCACAATAAAAGTAACTAGTTACTAGTAAAAGTAACTATTGCGTTACTTTTGCATTTCTCGCCCCCGTAACCCTCACCATCCAGCCCCCACCTTCTCGCCGCGTGTTTCTAAAGCCAGCTGAATAGAGCGGACGACAAAGATAAGAACCTGCAGAGAGTTTAGCATTTATTGCAACTTAA